CTTCTACATTCATAATTGATATGAGAAAAAAATTAATATCTTATTTTTTTATTATAAACTCTAGATCTATAAAGGTTAATTCCCTAATGATCATAAAATTAAAATTTTTTCAGATCTTAATCACTTTTTTATCAATCCTTTTGTTTAATTTTAATTATCTTATAAGTTATCTATTTTATAATAAAATTTGTAAATAAATACAAAGACTGAATCTGATAGAAGTTTATCATTAGTGAGTCCTGTAATATCATCAGCATTTACTATAATCTTATTTAATTATTTAAAGTAATTAACTAGGGAAATAGGAACCGTTATTAAGTCTAGAATAATCTTAACTAAAAAAATTCACATTTTATTATTGAGCAGGCAGATACTAGAACATTTTTTCATTATATATAGTTCTATATTTCATTTTAGACTAATTAATAAGTTTCTTTTTTTAAGTGATAATTGGTAAAAAATCCTTTTTGAAAACAAATAAGAAGAAGGTTTACTTGTAAAGTGGGATTATATATGGTTTTCTCTAATATAAAATTTCCAGTTAATTTTACGATGCTTTATGAATTGTATAATAAGATCCATTTAGGTACAGCTAAGCTTTTAGGAATAAAGCTGTTTAACTTTTAACTTTATTAAGGTATTATCTTCTTTTAAGCAATTACGATAACTTCTCTAATTATATAATTTGTACTATCTTTTTCATTAACTGAGTGGACAAGATAAATCAATGAGATTTTTGCAGGCATGATATCTTTTCCTTTTTCTTTTCTTTTTAATTGATTTTTGTTTATTTATTATTGTTTAGAGGAAGAAGGGGAGATATTTAGTTTTTTCAAATCAGTTCCATTTATATAACTATTCACACTTTTTTTTTTAATTAATTAAATACAAGAATGAACAATCTAATATTTTTCTTTTGTATTTTTTTTTTATTAATCATTTGTTTGTTATTTGTTTAGTGATTATTTTTTTAACAATTAAAAAGATCCTTATTCAGATACTTTTTCACTTATGCCAACAATAAATAATAACAAACAATTTTTTATTTAATCATTTATTGTTTTTTATTAACTATTTAATTAACTATTGAACTAATTAACTAATTAACTAAAAAAGATAATTTAACTAATTTATATTTTCATGCACCAAAAGTATGACGACAATAGAAATATTTTTTTTTTCTTCTGATAAAAATAAAATCACAGTAATCGAAAAAAGTCACGATTTTTACTACCATAAACATTTAGTCTCTTTTTTTTTTAATCACTTGAAGAAAAATCACTACATATTGAACTGTTATCCGTAAAAAGCTGATCGCTAGCATAAAGCATAAAGCATTATTTAAGCATATTTAAATAAAATAATTAAGCATTAAGCATTAATTATAAAAACTTTGGAAAGGTTTAAACCATATTTAGATATTACCCTAACCATAAACTGAAATTCTTGGTTGGTATGATCGTCAAAAAAAATTCGAAAAAAAATAAAAAAAAGGATAAGAAACATATCACAAGCTTTTCGGCAATCTTTTCTTTATGCTAATAATAAAATTGAAAATCTAATTCGAGTAAAATTAGAAGTATTGTTTTTGCAAATTAAACAACTAAAAAAAAGGTCACCGGAAATATAATTGCGAGAAAAAGTTCATTTAATGAATGGCAAAAGTTGAAACCCTTTACGTTTCAAATTTTCAACGATTGTTATTGATTTATTATTATATTATCGTTTCGACGGTACCCTACTACAAATGATCGCAACAATGATAGCGTTTATCAATTCCAATTGTAAGACAAATATAGAACGAGATATGTTATGAAAATGAGAAGATTGTAAATTCTAATTAAAATTTAATAACAAACATATTGTTCGAGTTCTTAAAAACAACAATCATTTTAAATTAGACCGGAATTATTTCCACCGAATTTTTAATTTTCATTCACACTTGAATGCATGTACCAATACATATATGTAATTTTGCCAAGGATTCCTTCCAAAAATTTTTTTAGCTTAATAGAATTTCTAAATTAGAACTAGAAAAATTACGATAGAAATTATCAAAACATTCGTGTAACATAGCTTAAATTAGTAATTTTCATCTAATCATGAATTTTATTTTACTTTTTAAAGTTGTGGAGAGCACTTTCCGAGTAACCACTAGTTAATTTCAAACTTGAAACGTTGTAATGCATCATAATCGATCTTAAACATGAAAGTTATTACTTGTTCTTTAAAAAAAGTAAGAAAAAAATTTGCTCTCGCATTCATGCTTATTGGTTAACCGTATTTGGACTATTAGTGAGATGGCAAAATGTTCTTTATAATCACTCGTGAATCAAGAAAACTCTTACTTGTAAACCTTCACTATTAATTTGTGAACCATTTCTCAGAATTTCTCCACCACCTACCAATCGATATTATTCTTCACAACAAATATTCGGTCATAAGAAATTACGTAATATTTTACATATCGATCGATATACCCTCCTTTACATATTTTCTCAAAGTAATAAATTATCTATCAGATCTTTTGGCGGTTCAGCCTTTTACTGAACAATAAATAATTCCGCCATATAAAAGTAGGTCAGATTACACATTGTTCTAAGATAATGCTCATAATCTCACATATTATTGCCGAAATCGCAAATATAATCTTCACGTGGTCAAATGCATTCTGACGTGTTTGCTCTTCATCTTTCACCGATTACATTTTTTTTTTTTTTTGTCATAAAATTTATATGTATGTTTGTGTTATGAATTTTATATTTAATTACAATATTAAAATATCTATTTAATATACTAAATATTTTTCGATTAAAACCTAGAAGCAAAAATATTAGCAATTTTCAACAAAACGATAATTTTACTTTTGATATATTTTATTTTTTTGAATTTGAATTTGAATTTGGATGTTTATTGCATTTATCGTTAATAAAGATCATTTTATTAGCTGAAGATTAATTTAAGTGAATAAAGAAACGAAATATTACATCTAGCTCACTCCTTGAAAAACCTTTGTCGCGACAGTTTAATGTTACACGGCGATTTTTATCCAGTCAAAATCCACTTATTCCTATGGAAAGTTTTGAATGACGATCCCTACGACATGTAGAATTTGTTTCCCTTTTCTTGTTTTATGGAAGCAATCACATTAAAATTGGATTTTTGAATTATAAATGGTTCTGCGTATAACCGTTAAAAACGTTACGTTTAATACACATGTACCGTATGTAATGTATGTAACGTATCGTCCAAAGCGGATATTGGAAAGTTTAATCTTTAATATTACCATGAAAAGATATGTATGTAATAAAGCTATGTTTGGAAAAAAGCTCATCATTCGATTTCCCTTGATTTACCTCATTATTCTGATTAAAAAAAAATGATAATAATCATAAAAATAATAATTTGAATTGATTCTTGTACTAAATTTTATTTATGAATAAAATCCTTTATATTCTTGAACCACCTTAAAAAAAAAAAAAAGGTGACAAAGGAGCGTTCTTTGTAGGGTTCTCGGAATTGATGTTTTTGTTACAAATTCTTTATATTTATTGTATTAATCCGTGATTATAATGAAAAACGATTAAGCTTCAAGTGCACTAATTCAATGATTGATTGGAATACATGCAGGTTGCTTTTTGCTTGTTTGTAAGGAGCGCGCAGTTTACAGGTCCTGTTGTATGTTAATGGCAATGATCTGATCTCTATGAGACAAGTTTAAAGAACAAGTGCGAGTTGAAAAATAAAACTTTATTTTCTTTACGCTAACAATTGACAGCTACCTTATCCTGTCGTAATAAGGTCGCATAATGGTTTATTGAATCATCATCATCTACAACGTCATATTTCTAATTAAACACATAAATTTATGAATTTCAGATAATTTGTCCAAATTAATTAAATTACATTTTCGCTTGAAACTTCATTTTGACCATATTAGATATAGAAATAAAACCATACTTGGGCATGAATGCCTTTTTTTTTAAAAATAAATAAAAAAACAAGGAAAATCTTTATGAAGGAGCGCAGCAAACCCAACCAAACAGCATGATTACAGCACATAGGTATGACCCAGATTTGTGTTATGCAAATCATTTTGTTTTGTTTTAAAAAAAAGTTTTTTTTTTTATTAAATGAAATGAAATAAAAATGATTACTATTTTTATAAAAAAAAAAGCATTTACCGGTAAATTAAAAATAAAGATAAACTAGGAAATTTGGTTTAGATCCGACCTTTTTGACTAACTAATAACAAATCAGCTTTAAACAAAGATTAATTCTTTATTTTTTTTTTTAGAAAAATCCTTTGTTTCCCATGTATTTTTTTCTTGTCCCCCAATGGTTTCGATTTTAGACAAAATGATGGGAACCATGATGCCGATCAAATAAACATTATATTGTGTAGCAGGAAATACCGAATGCATTTGTATATTTTTATATATTATTATTATTATTTTACAATGCGTATGTATGGTTCATACATGATTGTCTTTTTCTAACATTTATTTTACGCATACTTCTTTTTCCAACACAATGTTATAAATAGTTTCACAAATATTAAATTTCATCTCATTCCTTTTCGGACTTTTAATTTTCACTACTTTCCGAGAGATTATTAACCTATCAAGAACCGAGTGTGATGATCGAATCACAATATATAATGATTACGAAACCGGTAATATTTCGGAATCATCGGTTAAAAAAAAAAAAAAAAAAAAAAAAAAAAATTAGGATCCTGTTCCTTTTTTTTTTATGAATTTTTAGAAGGAATTAAAGAAATCGATTTTCTTTTTTCGTCTTCTTTCCTTTTTACTTTCCTTTTTATTTTCGATTCCTTTTTTGTTGTATTAATTGAAACAATCTCTTGATTGGTAATCTTAAAACCGCCACAAATACATTAATATTTATATCATCGAAAAAAAGAGATTTTTTTTTTTTTTGAGATTTCTAATTTCTTTCAAAACGTAAATCCTGGTTGATTACTAAAAAAAAAACTTGTGATGTTTCGAACAAAACCATCCCAAAATACATCCAACCCAAATCTACGATCACAACATAGAAAAGATGAATTAGATAATGTAGACGATAAATTATCGAAAAAAAATAGTAACAAGACAAGAAAAAGTTACGCTACAAAGAAGAAACAAAAACGTGAATTTGAACCTTTATCTTTAGGTAAAACTTACATGATTGTTCATCTATGTGCAGGTGAAATAGCCAGAAGAGGTAAAGTACCTTTATTTACTGCGTGAAAAGCGAGAAAATGTAAAAATGTTTGTGTTACAGGGGAAATCGTCTTACTTACCTTCCACACGCAAAATAAAAAAAAAAATAACAAAATAAAGGATTGACGGAACTTGGTATCTTCAAGCCTTTACGATTTAGAGATGGAAAAGATGAGGTCCGGTACCTTATCAGTTGTCTTTTGGAAGACAATCGTAGAGAATTCGAAAATGAATTATCATATCAAAATATACATAATGTAGTCGCCGGCATACGAGTGGCATTAAGAAATTGTGAGCTTGAAATCATTACTTATGAAAGTTATCTACAATTTATTAAATACGAACAAGGTAGGTAATCTTATTTGAGACTTGAACCGTTCAGTAATTTAAATTAATTGATTGACAAATCATTTTCAATCCTAAACAGATTGGCAATATGATTTAAAGGAGGGATGCTTTAATAAATTCCTTTCAAACCTTTCACGATTAAGTCGAGGAATACTCGTAGATTTGTTTGATTTATTTGCCATGACAATGGAGAATTCTCACAACAACCGCATGCATCCAACACGAATCCTAAAATCCATGTCCCCTTACATTTTTAATGAATTACAATCGAAAACTTATGAAAATTTTCAGTTGGCTTATCAAGATTGGTTAAAATATTCGAACGCGTTAACTCATTTATTCTTGGCCTATCTTAGAGAAAAGGCGTGCTCGATTGAATTACCCGAAAGGTTACATTTACTGTTATCTGACTATGTCGAACGTAGGAAAAAATGTTTGACGAATAGTAGCGTTAGTGAAAATGGTGAAGAAGTGATTTTTGGCGAACATGCTTTACCCGATATTACCATAGATTTGGACGAAGCCATTGATTCCATTGATAATATTTCTAGTTTAGACAATAAACAATCAAGTGGGATAAATAATGGTGGTACGGGCAAAAGGATTTATTTCACTGATAAAAGAACTGCAAGAGTTAAATGGGATGGTTTACAAAATAAAGGATTAAATATATTATCCGAGGAAGCGTTAAATTTATTATTTGCTTTTGATGATGAAGAAATAAACCTTAATTCTACCATTATCGAAAAAGGGAAAAGTGTAATGGATGAGGAACGACTTGAGGGTCAAAAACAAATTGACCGGTTTGATCTGCCGGAATTACGCCCTTCCCTTCCTGAAATGGATTTTAAGAATGATGCATCAAATAAAATCTTTAATTTTAATTTCAATAGTGAAGATGAAATTCAAATTGAGCCGAATAATTTTAGGAAGAAAGAATTTCGTGAATCAATTGATAACGATTTGAATAAGTTTAAGAGTAAGTTTAATTTACCAAATAATGATGGTGATTCAACAAAAATCAAGTTTAATGAAACATCAAATGAAAGAAAAGAGAAGCCCTTACGTCGTCGGTATTCAACTGAATCGATTCATATTAATGAACGCAAGCATGAAGAAAAGGAATGGATTTTGATTGAACAACATTCTGATCTAATGATCGATGGTAAAAATAAATTCCTTACAGATCGGAAAAAAATTAAAAATAAATCAAATAGTGTCAAGCTTACAAATCGTGTTTCGAATAAAATGAATAATTTCAATTTACCTTGGACAAGAGGTTCGAAACGAATTAATAAAAATTCGAATCTTTCAAATATTTCAGAACTTCCTTCATCCTTACAGCAAATCAATAATGTCGCCGAAAAAGATTCAATTATACCTCAACCACCTTATCTAAAACGTTCAAACACTTCATACAAACAGGTAGAAGAGTTCCCTAATCAACCTATTGGTAATGAACAGGAATATACTCAACAAAGAGAAGATCAAACTGAAAGATATCAAATGCAAGGACGAAAACAAAAATATCCAAAAGAACAATCAGAACATAAAGCTAATTATAAATCAAGTGAAGAGCAATTTAACGATATATCCGATAGATCACGACCAATCCCTAAAGCACAAGATTATCACATGAGTCAGGATCTTAAGAAGCAAGGTAACCTAGAATCGGATGATGAAAGCAAGGACCACATGCATACATCACAACATAATAATGGAAAGAAGTCTTCAGAGAAACGTACAACTACGATATCAGGTCAAAAAGTACGTGGTAAAGATTTACCTTATCCCGTTACTCCAAAAAATGTTGGTCGTAACTCTTCAATTACGAATCAAAATCCGTCTGGAGCTCGTGGTTGTCCAGCGCAAGGCCCTCAAAATCCTATACCCGATTTACACAAGCAGCAACTTCAGGTACCGCATAGGATCGAACGAAAAATTTCGGTTTCTGGAATTCGTGGTAGTCCTCAAAATCCTATACCTGACATGCCTGACGTACCCGACAGACAAATTCCGATTCCGGTTAATCCCGACAGAAAACCCTCGATGTCTGGAGTTCGTGGTAGTCCGGTGCAAGGCCCTCAAAATCCTATACCTGACATACCTGACATACCCGACAGACAAATTCCGATTCCGGTTAATCCCGACAGAAAACTTTCGATGTCTGGAGTTCGTGGTAGTCCAGTGCAAGGCCCTCAAAATCCTCCCCCTATACCTAACATACCTGACATACCCGACAGACAAATCCCGATTCCGGTTAATTCCGGCAGAAAGATTCCTGGGCCTGGAGGTCGTGGTAGACCGTTGCTAGTTCCTCCTATTCTTAATCCCAACATACCCGTCAGACAAATTCCGGTTAATCCTGACAGAAAATCATCGGGAAAAATTCATCATACTCCACCAAATCAATATATGCAACTACCCCCACAACCAACTCAGCAACAAAAACCATATCCGCTATATCCAAAACAATATCAACAACCTCAAATATATCCACAACAATATTATCAAAATTATCCACCTTCAAAATATCCTCGGCAATATCCAAGACCACCGCCACAACAAAATTATTACGACATGAAAATTACTGGACAAATTACCTCTAATAATTTCATAAGTCGAAGGCCAATGAATGCTCAAGTCGTTACAAATCAAACTTCAAGGAACATGCAAGTACCACCTGAAAACATTGTTCAGTTTAACCGGCCGACACCGCAAGAATATTACTATGATAATGTCAATAGTTACGATCAAGCGCAACCACAGCATCATTTAAATCAAGATGTTTATTCTCAACGGTCACCGCAGCCATATTATGGCGCATTTCCAATAGGTTCTCAATATCCTGATGTACAACAACCTAATTTATATAACAAGTTACGTCCTCAATATCCAATGACAACTCCTTTGGACGTTTCTTTCGACAATTATATTTGAATTATCTTCTTAGTTACATGCCGGTTCATTAAAAACAAAGAGAATTTTCAAAATTCTAATTAATTGTATATTAGTCAAAAATCCCGATTTTTGGCAATTAAAAGTAAATATGCGTTTTATTAAACAATAAAAATATATTATCATTCACATTTGAATTAGGGTTGGATATTTATTTTATTGAAAAGTTCCAATGCAGTCAGGAAAAAAAATGGTGTAACTATCACACTCCTAATGCACGTTCTTTTATTTAAAAGAAAAACAAACAAAATAAACAAAATGTAAATTATAATAACAAAAAAAAGCGACTACATTTAAAAAGTACGCTTTGTAAATTTGTTGCTGGACCGAATATTCAGAGTAAAAAGAATCCACTTATTTTTAATTCTCTAAAACATTTTATTATAATGCCATTAATTTATTAGAATTTGTCGAGACTTTAGACCTTTTTTTTTTTTTTAGCAAAAGTGTTTATATATTTACAATCGGGACACTTTCACATGAAAATTTCTTTAAATGATATTAGAGAAATTATTTCTTATGCTAGAATAATATCATAACAAAGAATTCTCCGGCAAAAATAAATTTTTATAAATTTACATTTGCCCATTATTTTTCGCATATATTTTGTTCACGAATGGCACTTAATATTTTCCTATCATTATATTTAATTGAAATAAAAATACGACAGTTAATTTTCACATGATTTCAAACTATTTTAAGGAATTTATTTTCTAATCATCAAAACTAATGTTGGCCGAAAACGTAATAGTGCGGGCTGAAATTACAACTCCATTTTCAAGGTAATCTTGTTCAGATGATATATAATCAACCTTATGAAAGTTCTCGAGATCTTCTGCGAACGTGAGTAGTTGCATTTCGAAAGCATTTTTATGCCTGAAATTTAGTTAAGGATTTATCATCTTGCGATGAAAACGTGAAATTTCGAAGATAATGAGAATCTTCATTTATTAATTGAAATTGAAAGAAAAAAATTGTATTTTTTGAATCTTTCAACAATTCATAAGGTTTGAATGTTAAAACATCTAACATTGTTTGGTCACTTCTGCAGTTAAATTCAATTTATCAAATAAAAAAGATACAAATCAATAACTATCTAATTGATTCATAGCTACAAATTTAAAACCGTCTTCGTATTCATAAGGGATTATGGTAAGATAATCCCTCATTTTAGCATAATCACCCAAAAGGATTATTTGTTCAAATTCTAGATTCTCACAGTAATAAAAGGTGATTTTGTTAAAACGGGTAGAGAAATGATCAACCCAACTTTTAAGCGATCTCAAAAAATAATCATCAAATTCATAAGAAATAAATTTTAAAGAAGGTAAATCCAAATTAACCAAATCATCTAAAACATAATTATTTGAGGCACATGAGAATTTAATTGAAATATGAGTTAGTTCTTTTAACTTATTAATATAGTTTAAGAAAACCGTATGATGTTCCGAGATATTATCATGAATGTATAATTCTATTGATAGATGGGTTAAATTAGGACATATCTCATGAAGTGGTGATCTATTCACGATTATAGGAATATAAACGTATAAATATAATTCTTTCAAGGTAAACTTTGATGATTTGATAATCGACTCCTTTAGACCGTAATCCTCTTCGATAAATCTACCCTTGAAATATTTAAGTTTTAAGTTAGCCTTGCTCAAAGGGATTAAAATAAATTCGATAGGATAGGCCGCATCGATCTCAAGATATTCTAATTTAACCAAACGTTCCAATGATCGATATGTGAATTCATCAAAAGTATTCCTACTTAACACTAATCTTTTCAATGAAGCTGATTGGTTCCTTAGTGCCGTGATGAATTTTGAACCATTTATATAACCTCTCGTGAAATCGAATGAAATCAATCCTCTTTGATTCTTAATTAAATTTTCCAATTTTAATTCATAATCACCATTTAAGAAGATTAATTCATGAAACCTTAATTTTTCAATACTCGTACATAACGTGGGTAAAACATCCAAAAGGTTTTGAACATTCGGTAAATTTATATCAGAATCATTAATGAATGAGAATTTTGATATATTTCTAATACCGGGGTATTCCTCATTAGTGAAAATGTCAACATCCGGTATATCTCCATATCTACGAGATAAATCCAAGATTAAATGTTTGATCTTTTTCGCATTTTTTAATATTAATTTTAGGAGCGCCCTTTCAATAAAGTCGATGGTAGAATTCTCGCTAAAATCGATGCATTCATCAAAGAAAGGATTTTTAGAAATATGATAATTCTTTAACCAATAATAGACCGCGTGTCTAATCCCCCTTAAATTAAGCACTGTTAAATGCTTCTCATAATTAAATAATGGGCAAGGAATTTCTTGAAGTTTTAATCCATGATGTTGTTCTAATTCATACTTCTCCCGTTGATCGAAAAAATAAATATATACCCCAATTTCTACAGACGTGTAAGTATTTGGCATGGGATTCATCCAAAGAAATGGAATAACATGCTTACAAAATAATCTGTTTACTTGAAGGCATGAATACAACGTAGGTAAATCTTTTTTGATATATCGAAAAATTTCATATAAAGTTTCATCTGGCAATGAAGATAATCCTATCGAAGATTTTCTTTCTTCAGGCATACTTGGAAAGTTTTTATTTTTATTTTTTTTTTTTTTAAAAAATATAAGGAAAAAAAAAAAAAGAGAAGGTAAAATGTTCAATTATGCCATTGTACCATGTATTATTGCCGTTTTCGAATGGTTGGTTACAAATTAAGAACGATCCTCCGATCAAATGAAATTAATAAACTCTAATTTGAATCTGAAACACTGTACTACCTGTAATTTTCCCACCAAAAAATTCACATGATATAATTTTGACGTCATAATAAACATTTTTGATTAGATCTTCAAAGTTTCTTTATTAATAATTTTTAATTTATTTAATTTGTTAAATCACTCGATGTTAAATATGATTGGTACATAAATATTAATGTACAACAAAGTTGATATTAGTAGTATACAGTATATAAATAAAAAATAAACTTTAGAATTTTAGGTTCAATTAATCCGATACATCCGTATTTTATGATCTAATAAAATAAAAAATTATTTTTAACTGTGTTTAAATAATAAATAAATCAATATCAATCTATCTATATCTATCTAAATAAAATATATATTTAAAAATAAAAAAAATTACCATTGGTAACATTCATCAGCAATATCCAATTCGTTTATTTTTGAATCCTGTTCCGGAACTAAAATAGATGAAAATATAAAATTTAGTAAAACAGAAAGAGTCAAATTATAAATTTAAATAACGTACTTTTTGTAGAAATATTTGCATAAGGTAAAATGCGAGAGGTATAAATTGCTTGAGGATGATGTGATTTTTGAGAATGTTCTTGTCGAGTTTTATCAGCATTAAGAAATTCTTTGTAAATTTCGGATTCACGATCGCGCCATGACCAAATTTCATCATGTACTTCACCAGCAGAAGGCCTGTTTTTAGGATTAGCATCAAGACATTTATTCACTAAATCAACATAACATTTTGGTGTTCCTTTAGCAACTCTTGGTCTTGAACCATCGCGAATAGCTAAATTAAGTTGAACATCATGTGATATTTCTCCAAATGGGGGTTTTTCAGTTGACATCTCTACCATGATAATACCAAAACTATAGATATCGCTCGCAAAAGTATATGGTTTGTTAATTAATACTTCTGGTGCTATATAAGGAAGCACTCCAATTATATTTGATGGAGTAGAATTATCAATTGATTGTGAATATCCCAAGTCAGAAATATATGATTGACCATTAGAAACAAGAATGTTTCCAGAGTGCAAATCTTTATGGATTAAACCCAATTCATGGATATGCTTTAAATTATATATAATATATACCAATATAGATAACTTTTCTTTCCATTTTAAATTGTGTTTACTTTTAAAATTTTTAAAATAACTTTTCAAATCTCCATGCTCAGCGTATTCTGAGACCATCATATATTTGTTGGTTTCAAGATTTTTCGTTATCCCATAAATTTTTAAAAAATACGAATTCGAACAACACTTATGATGTATTTTTACCTAAAAATAAATTGTAGTTAAAAGTTGTTTTTAATGCTTAAGTTTTAAAAAGGTTAAATAAAAAATATCCTTACCTCGCTAATGTATCCATTTATATCATTTGTTTTAAGTTCCTTAAGCGCAACTATAATAGGTTCAGATCGTCTTTTTTCATTGCATCCTATAGGAATTCCATTTAACCATTTGCCAGCATAAACATTGGCAAAACCTCCTTCTCCAATAAGTTTAATAATCTTGATCTTATCAGACGGTATCCATTCGATATTTTCATTGTAATGTTTTACTTCGTGTTGCAGTTCGTTAAGTAATTTATCTATTGCTTCATTGCCACTTGTCTTTCCTTCTCTTAAAGATCGTCCCGGATCACATCTTTTACACCATCCCATCCCGGTATTATTTTGTTTACAATCGTTGCATTCACCATAATGTTTTCGTTCATTAGATAATTTTTCAAATTTTTTAAATTTTTTATTGAATCCAATAATCATCGTTTGTTAATTATAAAATCATTGAATAGGTTGCAAATTTATACAAGTTTGTTTTATAGATCAGCGGGTCACCAGACTGTTATTAAATTACACTAGGTTTCCATTTTTATATCTAATTCTTTACTTTTTTGTTTACTGAAACAAAAAACAATATCTAAATTTAGCAAGGTATGATTTCGGAATTTGAACTGCGATACCATCATTCTGTCATAAAAGATAAGGATCCGGGGTTTATGGCGCAGTAGATCCAGAAGAGTCTTTCAGGGCCAAATAGAAAAGTTCCAAAGATCGCTGAGGTTTTATTAAATCATGTATGGTTGCCAATCAATTATGTATTTGTTTTTTTTCATACATGTATGGTTATAGTACCAGTATGGAATATTCAATTTTCATATTGATATATTTAGTTAGATTATTTTAATGATTATCATGTCGTAGGTACAAATTCATTACTACATCTAAAAGTTCTTTACGCAGCTTAATCTTTTTACTAGTAGATGCTTTTCGTTTTCCTGAATCTTCTTGAATGTTTATATCATAGTTTAATGCATCTTTAATAGTCTATTTAAAAAAGTCTTTCATCTAATCTTCTACCTTTAAAAAATTTCCTAAATTCTCGTAAAAAATGATTAGCTGCTAAATCCATACATGTATGGGATATTTCCCGACAGTTTCCACAACATTCACGTCTTATATACTAATACTACATAGATTTATTATTTGAGCACGTACGATCACATTAGCTTAAATGTAACCATTCAAATTTTTTATCATCGGTGTTAATTTTCTATAAACCCTTGGAATTTATTAAAAAAAATAAAGAAATTTAATAAGATTAAATGATAATTCGTTTTGAATTACGCGTAAAATTCTCGTTATGGTGAACCATTTTTATGGTAATCGTGTTTTATAAATGTCAAAGTTTGTATTTTTAGATTAACAGTTTCTGTACATGAAAAATACGACAATTTTTTTTTTTTAAAAAAAAAAAAGGAAATACGAAAATAGTTCAATTAAGTTTTCTCTACATCATTTAGGTTCAAAATTTTTTTACATGATGCCAGCTTTTAGATAATGGAATTTTCTGGATTCACGGATTTTTACATTGAAAATTATCTCATTTGTATCCACTTACTTCTAATATTAATTTATGGTGTTAAAAAAAATTTTGTAAATGAAATTTAATTTATCATAAATTAAATATTGAAAAAGTACTTTCAAATATCAAATTTATTTTCCCAAATTATTGATTGAAATAAAGCATGAAAGTGTGGAAATCAACAATATTCTAAAGTTCTTTTTCCAATAAATAATCAATTCCAAGCTCTAAGTCAGTTATTCAATTTATTCAGTTAATTATCAAATAAAAAAAGGTAAAAAATTTGAATAAGATAATAAATAATTTTATAAAATTTTTTTTTTTTCCTGCCACTACCAAATAATAATAATAATAATATATTAAAATGTCTAATCATTACTATAATAAACAACAAAACCCTTCCGTATTCTTTTCATATTATCGCATTCCAAAAATTTACAAAATTTTCTTTATGCATCAAATGTTCAAGGCAAATTTACTAAAAGATACTCCCACAATTTCCAAGATGAATTGTTACATCATCTAAATATTGTCTACGATTACTATATTGTGTTCGAATAAAAAAACAGACAAAGGTTACATTACAAAATTCATTTTTGAACAAAATAAAAAAGATTTCATTAAAGTCATAATTGCTCACTCGTTTAACAGATATATTGAATCATCAAACCATGCCCTGATAACTTCACAAGAATCAATACTTTCTATTCGAAAAGAAGGAATAACTTGAAGAGCTTCATCACGGATCACACTACTCAGATTTGCACTTCTATCATCATCCAAAGCCACATATCTTAACTTTGGATTTCTTCGCGCATATCTTATAATAACTTTAATATGTTCGTCGCTTATATTAGGACACCATGATAGTGTTAAAGATTCAAGTTGTGCTGTTAAATTTAACAAGAATTGCTCAAAAGATTCTGCTGACGTATCAACACAAAGTTCAAGATGTCGCAAGGTCGGTGTCAAAACTTTTCCGAGTTTGTAAAGTTGATCAGAATTAAGAATTAAACCATCTTCGCTATCAATTGATAAACATTCCAACTTATTAAAAGATTCTAATGCGCAAAAAGCCACATCTAATTCTGCATCTATATTAGCCCAAAATGCAAAACATGTAACGTCCTTACAATTCACCAGAATCTCTGTGAACCTTGTTAAATCATCTTGTGGTGTCATACATGGTAAGAAAACTTTTGTTAAATTCCTTTTACTATTTTTGATAATTGTTGCAACTTTTTCCACATCTAAATATACCACCCCAACAAATGAAAGAATCTCCAAATTAGGAAAATTCACATTACACCATGAAATTTGATCTTCAGGAAAATCACAATTATGAAATTCTAAATTTTTTAAATTTTGACAATCTCCCAAATAATCAAAAAGGTTATGACATGGAAAGTTACACTCCGAAAATCTAATGGTGTGAAGAGTTTGATGTCGAGTAGATAAAGCTGATATGATCTCAATTGTAACCACAAGCCATTCACATCGTGGTCCATAAAGTCGAAAATCTTTTAATGAACTTTGAAGTCGAATCAAATTTGCCAAATCATTAAGATGTACACCAGAATTTAAGGGACCGATCCATATTTCTTCTAAGGTATTACAACATATTTGAGTTAAATACGATAAAATATCATCATCATATTTAATTTCGATATGTAAAGATCGCAAGTACTTTGGATATTCTGGTAGAAATTTGACGTGTTTACGTAACGTTGGAAAATGATCTAGAGAACAATGAAGGATAGTTTGTACAGATGTAAAACTTTTAATAAGTATTGAATATAAATAACAAACAATTTGAACTTTATTAAAAAATATTCCATCTAGTTCATTATCAAAATGAATATCTATTCCTTGAACCCAACTCTTAATGCCTTGCGTTAACGTTATCGTTCTTAAATTCTTTAAAAATATTGGATAATTAAAGAATGGTTGAGATAAATCTTTGATACATTTAATTAACATTTTTTGTTGAACATTTTCCGATGATGATCGATCCAAAACGCTAATTATATAAGTTTGAACAAGCTTCACAGAAGGTTTATTCAATAATCTAAAAGGTTGTCTCCATAATATAGGTACGACATTCCTACACCAAGAACGGTTGACAAGAAGACTTGAATGTAGTGCTGTTTTGTCATGATCTAAATTTTCAAATATTTCTTCAAGAATTTCTGGAGGAAGAATTGTAGGCATTTATATATTATAAATATTAAAAATTTTAAAATTATTTTTTTTTTTTTTACTTTTTTCAGACCTTTATATAAATTTTTTTTTTTCCCAACTGATTATGACGTTTTACGACGCTATATTTCCATTTATATCAAATATTACATTACGTGATCGTCGATCAAAGGATTTCGCTAATTGGACAAAATCAGATGATCAATTGCACTTGGGATAAAATATCCCTCACGGGTCTATTCCAACATAACAACATCAATTAAGAATTTTCCCTCCCGCTTTTAACAATGCATTTAAAATAAAGATAATAAATGGTAAAATCAATTGGAAATTAGAATTCGAATGCAAATCTAATCGAAAGTTCAAGTTGTAATAAAGCGCGTGATATAAGAACCTTTTATTCTTTATTTAACCAAGGTTTTAATCCATATTTTAGTATGGTTATTGAGGTTTTTTTATCCTAATTTGGTTGACGAACTCATGTAAATTTTAGAATAATATATATATATATTAGTATTTACTTACAATTTTATTAGTTGAAAATTTTGACGAAAAACCTTCACAATTAATTGTGATAAATTCACTTTCAAGCACTTTGGAAATTCTTTTAAATTTTCCGATTCCAAAAACGGTTTTCCATAATTTATCACACTGGTATGTATCTATAATTAAGCAATAAAAGCTATTTGTAATAGACAACGAAAGACATGAATCCTTTATACGTGAATCGTATAAATTTTCTAATTCTTTCAATCCATTTTTCTCCTTTAAAATAAATAAAATAAGAAAAATTAGGTATCGAAGAAAAATTCATAAAAAATATAATTTCTATTTACCGAATAGCCTTTAAACTGATCGATTATTCGCATTTTTTTAAGAATAGTACCATTTTCATTAATTACATTAATCCTTTCTTCTATCCGTCTGCTAAAGTCTTTACCAATAGTTTTCAGTTCCGGGATAGAACTTGTTGTTTTTATAATCTGATTAACTTTTGCAAATACATCGGCTTTTTCGATATCAACTTTTTATAAAATATATAATCAGTAAAATAACTCTTTAAATTACAACATAAAATAGAAATTACCTGAATCCTTTCCTTCTGCTTTTATTAAAGAAATCGTTTTCAGATTATTCCTTACAATATGAGCATGAAACAAATTATCATAATAATCGCAATATCATAATCTCACACAAGAAAGAACGCTAACCCTTCATGTGTAGGACGCTAACCCAGATTTTTACGAATACAGTAGGACACTAACCTACCCTTCACTGAACAAAAGACTTTGAAGTAATCATAAATTGCATATTGTTTGATTTAATATTGAGCAAGTAAAACTTACAGTGTATGTTTCTAAAAGTTCCTTAGATGATCTTGCCAATTTATTCAGTATGAGTGTAGTTAGTTCGTATGTTTTCTTAAGGAATGAAATTCGAGTTCTATTTTTATCAAAATTCGTCAATGCTTCTTTATATACTTGGAAATATTGTTTACGATTGTCTATAATTTCAACTGGCGAAATATCCTCTTGGTTTGAAACAAAGTATAAGAACCCTACTAATGATATACTTTCAATATTTTCTAAAGAAATTATGTATTTTGTAAATAAAGCAGCTTTAAATTTGGTTGCCACATTTAATTTTTGGTTTGAAAAAACGAGACCGTTAAATACGCGTTCAAGTCAAATCACGTGAAATTCATCTGACATAGAACGCGAAATAACCACGCGCAGAATGTCCGCGAGGTTACATGTTCCCGTGGTTACATCTATTTTTTGACTACAAAAAAGAAATAACCACGCGCAAAATGTCCTCGAGGTTACATAATATGTACGCGCACGTGTGGTGAAATTTCATTTATAAAAGTGTTGCGATAGATTGATTTTTGTGTGACCATTTTATGATATATTCAAAAATGGGTCGATCTCGTGCAAAGAAGAAAAAAGATTCAGAAAGATCCAGACGTCGATTAAATATTTTTAATAGAAATAAAAGTGCAAAGATTATAACGGGAAATTTTTTCCAAAGTAAGTACCAATGCAGGTTCAGAGGTATGGCTCCTGCTTAACGGGCTTAACGGGGTGGAATCCCTCCGTTTCAGTACATAGATGCCTCGCTTATTTAGCTTTACAACCCCGTTTACAACTCGATCGATCGGCATCAACACCGGGCATTTCACTAACTCTTGAGAAGGATATAATACTTTAGGAACGAATCAAGAAGGAGTTAACAAAAATGAATATAAACAGCTTAGTTATGGTATTTATGAGCATTTAATTAATATTTCATGGTAAATATTTTCATAGTAAATATTTTATATCTTTTAGGTCAAAACAGGTGTATTAATTGTCCTAACGAAAAATGCTTTTGTCGGGCCGAAGTTAAATCAAAATTTTGTCCAGCATGTGGATACATTAGATGTTCAAGTGGATATATAGCATTAAAAAAAGTGGTAATTTTTTTTATAAAAACGGGAGAATAATTAATTATAAAATAAAAAAGTAAATGAATGTAATTACTTATGTGTTGGTCTATGATACCATAAATTTCAAAATATACAGGGGGGTACAAAAAGTATTGGCCACCCAATTAACACGATGTAAAATAGGCGCGTGTCATCTTACCCCTGTCAGATCAGGCCCGGTTCAATTTTGATCGTTCCTGATTTTGATCGGTTCCAACTTTTTATTTCGTAAAACAACATACAAAATTTTTAATTTATCTATAATGATATATCAACAAAATATTAAACATTTATTACTGACTTTAAAGAACTTGAAGTTGAAGAAAAAGAAGCTGTTCTTCTTGGATTATGTTCTTTATTAGGTTCTTGTTACTTAGAATCAAATATTTTATAAAGATTAAAATACAACATTAATCTTTCTTTGTAATTTCAATTCTAATTCTTTCATCTTTAACTCAAATTCAATCTTGATCTTTCTTTTTTATATGCCCACCTTCCTTTTTAATTTCCAATCGTCTTTCTAATAACATTTTTTTTCCTAGATTCTTTCATGTGTTTGACTCATTTCAGCTATTGTTATAACTATAACATTGACATTGTTTTTTAATTTCAACCGCCTCTTTTCAATAATATCTGTTTTCTTATTTGCTAAAAATGAAGGATTATATTTCACGAATTCCAAAGATCATATCCATTTTATCATACTAATACCAATCCTTTCATTTGTTACCAGTTTGATTATTATGTCTTTTCATATATTCATACTCTTCATTAATTAAAAAGTTTATCTTAAATATAAAAAATAAAAATGTTAATATATATTGTAAATGAATATAAAAAAATTTTACTTTTAATTGCATTTGCTTCTTTATTAAGTAAAATATATTTGCTATATTATTATAAATTTTCAATTTGCTTTCTTCAGACCAGAAATAATAATTTTCTTTAAGATAGTCAAGTAAAACTTTAAAACCTCATTTTATTTTCATTTATTATGTCAGAAAAATTTTTGTACTTATTCACAACCTTCTTTTTCATTTTCATCTTTTCTAATCTAAAATAAATAATCTTTAATTTTCATATGATAACTAAAATACTAAAATGCATACTTGATTTATTTTAAGCTAATTTAGGTTTAAATTTTACTATTAAGGTAAAATAAAAAATAAAGTATATAATTAAGGATATATTGCAAAAGAGAGAGTATAGTTGATATATTAAAAAAAACTTATTATTACTAATATCCAATTTAGGTAAAAGTAAATATAAAATTGTAATTATTTTTTTGAAGGTTTATAAAAACTGATTAGTATATTTAATAGAAGTTTTCTCTTTAATTTTACTAAATTTATGTTTTTAAAGGCATATTCTTATTCAATAAAAATAATCAAAAAATTTCTACTTTTTTATAATTTTAAAAAATCAACTCATTAATTGTATTATATAATTTCATTAATCAATAATTATCAATTTAAAAACTGATTAAAAATCTAAACAAATTAGAATTAAATTGGTCTATTATAAAATAAAATTGATTATTTAATAATATAAAAAAGTTATATATAGGAAGTTTGATAAGAAATCAGGCTCTAGAAATTTTTTAACAAAATTCTGATTTTTATTGCATTTTAATTTTTAATATTATTAGATAAAATATAATAAAATCTTAATTTTAGTTAAAAAAATTCTCAGAATCTGAATTTTATAGCAAATTTTTCATATTATTATTATGAAAAACTTGTTACAAATATAATATATGTTAAAAAAAAAATTTAATAAAAATTTAAAAAGAAAAATTATTTCATAAAAGTTAAAGTATATAAATAATAAAATTTTCTCAATTATTGATTACTCTTATTTTTCTATATAATATATATAAGAGCTAAAAAAATGAAAAGAATAATCACAGATTTTAATGAAGTTAAGTACAAATATCTTAAGTATTTATTAGTTAAAAATAAAAAACTATTATCAAACCTCTCTAAAATACATTTAAATTATTTAAATAAAATAAATAAACCTATTATTATATAAAATAAATTAATCAAAAAAAAGTCTCTACTTGTAAATTCTCATCTTAATCTATTAATTTTTAGTAATAAACAAAATATTATTTGTAGATTTTTATTTATAAAAATTATACATAAAAAATTTTAAAAAAAATACTTTAATTTAATAAATCTACTTTATATGCAATTTAAAATATTAAATTTTAATATATATAATGTAAACTTTCTAAAAAAATTCTTAAAAATTATATTGTAATCATAATTTAAAAAGTTTTACAAAGTTTTAGAAATATTCCTTCTAACTTAATTTAAATTCTTTTATTTTCTTGATTAGTTGAATTATCAGAATTATTTATTATAAAAGTTTGATTAATTATTTAAAATATTTTTTTTGAATAATATATCTATTTGTATTACAAAAGTAATCTATTCTTTTCTCATATTTTATATATTAAGTTAATTTCTTGATTAACTTAAAGTCTTAATATTAATTTAATAAAAAACTTTAATTATATATTAAAATTAAAATCCATCAATATAATTTATCTCTTAAACTGTAAGTATAAAATTATTTCTAAAACATTTTAATAAACTTAAAATATTTTGATATCTAATAATTATAAAAAAATAAAATAAAATTTTAGATTTATCATATTATGATATATCTAATGATAATATTTTTAAATTTTTAAAATTCATAATTATCAATATATATTAATTTTTTAATTTTTTAATTTTAAAAATAATTTATTATTTAATAATAATATATTTTAAAATATTTAAAAATATTTAAAAATAATTGTAATTAATAAATAAAATTTTTTATAAATTTGTAAGCAAAATAGTTAAAGAGATAATTATTAAATATTGTATAATTAGAAGATTACACTTAAAAATTTTAATTTATCATCCTAGGTTTAAAGTATATTTCAATAAAAAATTTACTAAGTATTAATTTCTTTAATTGTAAAATCTTTATTATTACTTTCAAGTAAAATTATTTTATTATTTAAATTTCTATATCTCTTTATTTTAATAAATATTTTCTCTAAATTTTAATAATAGTTTTAAAGGTAACCTTCTTTTAAATACAAATAATAATTTATTTTTAACAGCAAGAATATGTAGACTTATTTTAGCAATTTATCCTTTTGCAACTGCTCAAATTCCTTCAATCAGTTAAAATTCACAATAATATGGAAAAGTATAATACAAATTTTAATTATATATATTAGCTATTAGATTATATATAAAAAAGTATATTGGTTTTATTTTGTTTTACTAATTCATAAAATTTTACTTTAATAGTACATTCTAAAATTTCAATATTCTTTAATATTAATTATGCAATTAATATATTTTTTTTAAAATTTAATCAGAACTTATTTAATCTAATATTTATAATAGTAAGTTTCATTCATATAAATATCTATAGATCTATATGATCACTAATAGTTATACAAAGTCTATCAAAATATCTTCAAAAATTTCAATATTACAATTATTATAATAATCTACCTGATTAGTTATAAGATTAAAATTACAAATAATCTTAGAAATATCTTGCTAAGCATTTGCATTTATTCATTTTCTTCTTTTAAAAAGGTGACTTAATTGCTAATTCCTATAATAAAATAGAATTAAATACAATTTTACCTAAATATTATTAATATCAATATTATAAAATACAATAATTACTCTGAATATAATGATTAAAGAACTATGTCTAATTGAACAAATAATTTTTAATGTGATACTTATGTGCATTTTATAATATAATATAAATAATAATAGAATTTATCAAATAAACTTCTAGCCTATTTAGAACATTATTTTTGCTTTATAAATTTCTAAACATTTTCTTAAATAATAATTTTAAAAGATAATATTTACAGATGATTTGTATAAAATACTCTAACATTTACTATAATTATAATAATAACTCAAAAGTATACAATATTCAAAGTAATTGCTATTTTGAAAATTGATAATCACATTTTTCTAAATTTTATTTTAAAATAGCTGTTGAAAATAGTATACTAATATTTATTAGTATAATTAAACTACGTATAATTTTTACAATATTAAGGTTAAGTTTATTTTTTAATCTACTAGACTTTTTATATTTTATAAAATCTATATTTTGATTCCATTCAGTAACTACTTATATAACTATAACTTTTCTAATATTTAGAATTAAAGCAATTTACTTGTATAATAATAAATCTGAATACTACTTTTTATGTTGTCTTATGTCTAAAAAAATTTAATAGCATTAATTATTATTCTTCTTATATTATTAGTTAGTGAAATTTTATCTAATTTAAATTTATTTAAAAAAATTATTTAAAATTAAACTTATTTTTTACATAACTTTAATTTTAGAATTTTTTATTATAAAGGAAATTTTTATAATAAATATTATATATTTATATTTTTACATTAGATAATATAAAAATATTATATTAAATATATAATATAAATTTTACTATTATATTTATAAAATTTTAAAATATATTTATTTTATTATGATATATAACTTTATTTATGACATAAAATTAATTTAATTAATAAAATAAAAAGTTTAATTGAAAGAATATTTCTATCAATTTTTTAATTTTTTAAATATCTAATAAATTTTGATACTTTATTATATATATATTAT